GTTTGCCAACGTTTTTTTAGCCGTTCGGGCTAAACGAAACTAAATCTTAATCTTGAATGAATATAATGCGTTTAATCAGCCAAATGTGCTTTATTCTTCCATCTGGAGGTTTTGTTTGGTTTATTGAACGCAGCTTTAATGTCCGTTAATCACAAATATATGTTTTATTCTGACTTTTTATTTTTGGTCACTTCTTTGAAGAAAATGTCAACCTTTAGTATAATGTGTCATAAAATCAGACTTTTTTTTTCTGAGTCAAAGTTTTGTTTTTGGTTTTTATTGATCAGATTTGGGTTTGGTGTTTTTATTCCTGTTGATCTTTTTTCTTTTTATCATGTGAATGGTTTGATCTTCTCCCACTGATTCAGGGTGATAACCGAAATATTAAAGTCCAGCTATATTTACTGTTTTTACTGAAAATTTAATCCATTTTATTGGACTATTCCTGTGTTTTTTTTTTGGGGGGGGGGGGGGTTGTTTCTCACTGTAACCAGACATAAAAGTGAAGGAGTTGCACTTTAAAAATAAAGAAAAAAGCAAACAGGATTGATGATTATCTTTGAGCTGTAAATATGTTCAGCACAAACTGATGCTTCATTACGACGATGATTAATGGAAAGGATTCAGTGGTTAATAAAGCGCTAGCATTCATCCATCTGAGTCTGTCGCCTCCTTTATGTTTTATTTCTTCTCTTGTTATTTTTAATGTTAAAACTCTAAAGAATCAGTTTGTTTTTTCGCCTCTATTTTCTCATATTAGACAAAACCAGGTATTTGAGGGATTTTATGTCAGACCTAAACAGAGTAACATTGTTTAAATACTACACACTACTAGACACATCTGCAATCAACAACAATTATTGAAGATTTCCAGAGGACTTCACCATTGAAATTCACCAGAGCAAGGGTGTAACTTTGCGATAAAAGTTGGTGGGGGCTCTAAAGGTGGGGGCTGATGGACCTACAGCTACTCAACCCAAACGCTTTCAATAGGGTTTATATTTTCCAAAAATGAGCTCAAACATCTATTTATTGAATGTTTTCCTAATGTTGAGAGAGAACCACAGTACTCTGATATTTATAGTTCTAGACAGATGCCTGCCTGTTTTAGTGCATTATTTTATAAAGGGCTCAAAAACAATGTATAAAAAATAAGGAATAACAGCCGATATCGATGCTAACATCAATATATCCTGCATCCCTAGAATGGACACAACTTCACTTCCATCCATCCATCCATGCATGCATCAGTGATCATTCTCCTTTACAAGCAGCAAAATCTAATTTAGAAATGTGTCCCATGTGTCATTAACATCAAAGTGTGTTTATTGAACCTTATATTTCAAAAATCATTTATACACTGATTTGTATAATGTATGTATGTATTATTATTTTAAGTCTGTGTCCTGTGAGTCTGGCTGTCTTTGGGTTGCTGCACAGCTATTTCTGAGTCTCGTTTGAACTACAAAAGACAAAAAGATATGTTGAATGTTATTAAAGTATTGCATATTTTTTCTTGTAAACTTGTAGACATATTTTATTGCATGTTGCATATCCCAGTAAATCTGTTTCACCTTTAAATCAGCAGCTGTCCCTAATTGTGTCTCTGCTCTGCTTAAAATCAGATTTATGAACCTGTCTACCAATATAATGATGCCAGAGAAAATCATTTTCAGGATCTCTAGAAGCTCTGCAGTTCTCTGTTCAATCAGAAAACAACAGATCTGTGTTCATTTTAATCTGTAATGGTCCTGAGAAGCCCAGCTTTTTTAACTCGTATAAATGTTCAATCTGTTGCCTTTTTTTAGCTGAAAAAGGTCTGTATGTGTAACTAACGGATTTTTATCGGATATCGGAGTAGCTGCCAGTTAAAATTCGCTGAGTGCTGCTGCGAATTTATGTTAAAACAGCTTGCCATAATAGGTCAGACGAAACTGACTA